CCACCCCCAGTAGCACTGGTTTAATGGACATAATTCTTTTAGCCTGTTTGTGTCACAGAAATGTTTTATTTCTCCTTCAACTATGGGATATACAGTAGTCTAGGTTGGCATTTGTGGTCTTTTAGAACTTGCAGGGGATTGCTCCTGGCTCTTCTGGCTTTTAAGGTTTCCATTGAGAAGAAAACACAAAAAAACTGTTCCGATGGGTTTGCATTGTATGTGACTTGTGTTTCTTCTATGGTAGCTTTCGATACTCTTGCTTTATTCTGTATACTCAGCATTTTAACTATGATATGCTATGGAGAGTTTCTTTTGACCTCTTCTGTCTGGGATTCTGTGTGCTTCTTGCATCTGTATTGCACATGTATAGCTTTCCTGGGTTTGTGCAAGTTTTCTCCTATGACTGTTGACCTGGATTCTTTTCTATTTGTGCCTGTAACTTGAAGACTTGGTCTTTTCACGGTGTCTCATAGATCCTGCGCATCCCTTTCCTGCATCTCCTTTGGGTTTCTTCATATTCTTTGCTTGAGTGGTCTAATTCCTCCACTTTATTGTTGAGTCCTGATATTCTGTCTTCTCCTTGATCCCTTCTTGTAAGGATTCCTCTGAGTTTTCTAGCTGGGCTGTTGAGCTTTTCAATCCCGTCTTCATTTCATCTCAAGTTCGTTTCATCATTATTTCTAGTTTCTTTCATTATTTCTAGATCCTTAGTGAAAACCCTGGATTGTTTTTGTCATCCTCTTCAACCTACACCTGTGCTTCTTGGGCATCACTCAGGCATTTATTCTCTTTAAGTTTGTTCAGCTGTTTCTTTATGTCATCTCAAACTTCCTAATTCTTCAATTGTGTTTATGATTGTCCCTTTACACTCCTGGTCTTGGGGCTTCATCCGGGTAATCCTCACAAAAGAATATTTCTACAGGACTGGCAGATTTTGCAGGGGACGTACTTTCTATCTTAACCATTCATGTTGTTTGTGTTTTTGCAATGAGACCTGAGCATTTGGACTTCTAGCCTTGGTCATAAGTTGGATGTGGGCACAAAAGGTTGGCACTAACCAGCCCAAACCTGGAGGCTGGGTAGGGCACACCAGTCTGAGCCAGGGTCCTGGTTGTAGGCCTGGGGTGGGTATGGCGACTGAGGGAAGGCAGGGAAGGGTCAGGTGGACTCATCATCCGGATTGATGCACAGGATCTTTGGACTGGGACAGGCTTGGGAGTTGGGTACGGTGGGCTGGGATAAGATCATGAGGACACATGGATTGGGATGATGTACAGGATGTCAGTCCTGGCCCAAGCCTCAGGTTAAAGATAGCATCAACAGGGCTCCTCAGGCCAGGGCACTTGATGTGGGACCCAGGCTAAGTCTGAGGATGGTGGAGGGTGCCCTGGGGTAGGTGGAATAGGTTGGGTGGACAGACCTGGCAAGCTCGGCTGAGATAAGATATGCAGGCCAGGCTGTGCCTGGAGATCGGTTACAGCACAGGCAGAATAAGGTTAGGAAGACATGGGGCACTGGGCTAGTGCAGAAGATCATAGCTAGCTTTTAAACCAAACGCTGCATAATGCATAAGCCAAGTACAAAAAGACCTGAGCAGTGAAGCCTGGCCTCACACAGAGGCTGCACGATTCTGCCTCTGTTTGATAACGGGGTAAAGGGAAGCGCCTTTGTGTTTCCAGCAGAAAGGAACCCAGGGTGGATGTCTGAGAAACACACCGTCTCCTTTATGCTGTGAACTCCTTTTCGTTAAGACTGTCTAAGACATTTTAAATGTGATTTTATTCAGTCTGCAAACCTTGGCTGTGGTAGTATTTTTAGTATGCTATGCTGGGAAATTCTCTAAGGCCAAGGCCCAGTTACAGATCAAAGTCTGAGAGTTAGAAGGATTGCTCCAACTTTGTTCTGTGCTTTCAGAGAGGATAAGAAATATAACACTGAGGAAGAACCAATAAGTTCTACCTCCGCTATAGGATCAGAGGTATAAATAACCCAAAGAATGTCCTCAAGTGTCTCCATCCTACCCAGCTATTAGAGACATATGGGGACCCTGGCTGAGCCTTTGTCTCCTGCTCAATTGCGTGTGGGTCAGTGGCACAAAAAAATAAAGAAAGAAAGAATTGGTGTGGGCACTGCTCAGAGGTCAGGCTGACCAGGCTCAGAACTCAGCACTGTCTCAAACACCTGCAGGCACTCAGGGACATTTGCTTACTTACTGAGCTAGCTTCATGCCTGGTTCAAGGTGCTAGCCACAACACTGACCAACAGGCACGATAAGGGAGCTCCCAGGAAAAACAGGTAAGGCAGGACCAGGAAACTAGCAGTGGCAACAGTATCGGGAGAGTGAGTGGGTGGGTTAGTGGTTCAGCCTGGGGCCAACGGATCAGACATCAGCAGTGTAAGTCAGGAAAGCAACAATGTTGACCTTACTTCCAGAGACCATCCCCCACCCACAGGAAGCCTCACCAGTGGAGGAAAGCTACAAAATTCTGGAAGCGCAGAAGTTATATGAACACAAACTAAAACGCAGCTGTTCTAACACTGCTACAACTTTCTTTTCCTTCTTTACCCAGGAACAAACCAACCAAGGGCAGAGAGTTTCCATTTCACACATTGTTGCATATGCAATTCATATCTGCAAGTCACCGTCATGTCACAAAATAGGAATTTAATTTTAAGTTCCAGTTCACAAAATATAAATCAAGTCAGATAAAAATCCTTGCAGTAAGTCCTCTGGCCATGTGGGAATCAAACTCTAATTGTATAACTGAAAGACTCCAGAAAAAGCGCTGAAGGTGGTGTCCTGGTCCCACCTCCGCCCACAATCTATAACAGTCTATCTTTAAAATCTCGAGAATCTCAAAAATAAATAAATAAACTACTCCCGTGAGATCAGGAAAATGGCAGATCACAAGACTATCCTAAAACGTCCTGTGTGTGTGTGTGTGTGTGTGTGCGCGCGCGCGCGCGCGCGCGCTTCCAGTAAACATCCATACAAAGAAAATGGAGTGCTATTTTCAATTGCTCCAAAGAGAAGGAAGTGTGAAGATTTAGTAGAAACCGAATAGAATAGGGTCTGTACAGTGACTTGTTTCTTTAACAAAAGCCAAAGCAAATTAAGAGATACACCATGCTTGCAGACTGTGAGAGCATATAAAGCATGTATGGAATGAGAATGACCACTGCACTAAACAAACTGGGGGAAATGTAGCAAGTGGGAGGTGCTCCCTCCAGTGAGAAGACAGAGCATGCCCGCCATGATCAAGGCAGTGTGAGGGGGATGGGTAAGAACCTAACCAGTGTGCCAAGACGAGGGACTGGGAAATATGCCCCACAAGGACTCGAGTTGCTTTTTAAGTGTTTGGGTTTTGTTTTGTTTTAGGTTTATTTATTTTATGTACATGGGTGTTGTGGGGAACCCCAGAGCAAAGTTAGCATCTTAACAGCCATCCTTCCTACTACTCTCTTAGATACTAACACACTGGTAATTTTCCATTCCCCTAGGACTGCTCTCTTGTTAAACATGGCGCCTGCATTCTGCTTGGAAGGACATTCTGCCTCCCTAACTTCCTCCCTTTGCCCCATCCCCTCATTTCTCCACTACTACATTACATTCATTAAAAGAGACTTGATCAGAATACCGTCTTTTCTGTCTCTCTCGTCTCTTGTATCTTAATTCTCACTTCCCCCCTCAAGGTCCGGGTTAACTGACCCTGCTGGCCGGGGCAGGGTGTTTCACTCATACATATGTCTGTGCATTCCTAGTACCCACAGGAGCAAAAAAGAAGAGACCAGACCCCTTGGAATGGGAGGGAGGCACAGTTGTGAGCCTCCGTGTGGATTCTGGAAATTAAGCCCAGATCCTCTGCAACAAGAACAAATGCTCTAACCATTGAACCACCATCTCTTTAGCCACTGCAATTCCCCCACCCACCCAATCTTTTTCTTTTTTAATACAGGAACAAAAGCAATTCAGTTAAGGAGAGAAAGCTTTCTTGATAAACGGTGCTGGAGTAATTGGACATCCATGGATCTGAAAAGGAACCTCCATCTAGGACACACACAGACACTGGCTCAAAGCTAAGACTTTAAATATGTTAGAGAACTTACAGCTGAGCAGTAAGTTCTTAGACTTCACATTAAATCATAATCTATGAGACACACAGACATTACAAGGCAATATTTGCAAAATGCATATCCAACAAAACTTCATATATTTATATCTCAAATACATGAGTACTCAAAACTCAACATTAAAACTTCAATTACTAAACACATAGAACACTAAGCTGCTCTGCCCTCTCCCATCTAATCCTGTTCTGGTCGGTGCTCATGATTCAGCAACTATTGGGGGGGGGCAGCTGCCTTTCCTACATAGAATGAGGGACAGTCTAATCCTTAGAGAAGTACACCTCTCCAACTTGACTGACTAAAGTGGAGTCTATCACCCACAGCTAAATACTGAACCGAACTGGAGTCCAAATGCAGAGAGGGAAGACAAACCAGATTACAGAAACCCACAGAGACAGCTGACCTGAACAAGGGGGAGCTCATGGACCCCCAGACTGATAGCTGGGAATCCAGCATTGGACCTACTCTGACCCCCTGAACATGGGTCTCAGTTAGAAGGCCTGGGCAGTCTAAGGGACCTCTGACAGTGGAACCAGGATGTATCCCTGGTGCACAAAAGGACTTTGGGAGCACATTCCCTATGGAGGGAAACTCCCTTAACCTAGAGGAAGGAGGGAGGACTTAGTCGCTACTGCAAATGACTTGACAGATTTAGATGACCCCTCCTGGAAGGCATCACCCTACATGTGGAGTAGTGGATGGGGAAATGGGATGGGAGAGTGGTGAGGGGGCATGGGAGGGAGGGAGGGAGAGGGAACTGGGGTCGATATGTAAAATAAGAAAAATCAATAAAGTGGAGTCTACCAAGGCAGATGGCAAGCTGTCCTGAGCACAGGCGCAGGAGGATCACAGGAAGCAGGCACGGAGGTTACCTCAAATATCACCAGAGTATAAACCCCTGTGAGGATGGCCACCGCTATTGTGACTTGTGCTTCGACACTCGCTCCAAGGAACTGATGGGCCAGCAAGAGAGGAACAAGGCGAGTCTGTCGAAGGGAGGCCTGGATGTTGATGGAAACAGCCTCCCTGCAAAAACAAATCAAAGGTCTTGAGGTTGACTGGGGTCACAAAGTGACTAATTAGTACACTTCTTCAGTATCCTTTCTAGCACAGCCACATGGCCAGAGCCAGAGCCCAGGGTATTCCACAGTGATCCACAATCTCCCAGACAGAAGAGCCCTAAGTACAGTCTTTCTGGGACACTCAACAAGGGCCCTTCAGCCTTTTGAAGATGCTACTCCAACAACTGGCAATGGGTTTAGCCATTCATTCTCTCCATCCTCATCAACACAGTGAACTCTTTCACCTGCTAACACGGAGAGTCACCGGCTACTTAAACTTTGGTCCCCAGGAGTGTTAGACGGCACCTAAATAAATGGGAAGCCTGAAGACAAACGAGCAGGACACACTCAAACAAAAGCACTTTTCTGAAAGCCTCTCGATTATAAATCTGGTGAGCCTAATGGTGTCAACTCCCACCCCAAGTTCATATGCTGAACTCTAACTCCCCAGACCCCAGAGCATGATTTAGAGATGGTTCTTAAGGAAGACACAATGGGTGAAAATGACCTTGATTCAGGGGTCCTTGTGCTCATCAGCAGAGATGAGGACACAGTCATACGGGGAAGACAAAAGCAAGATGACATCTGTGGCCCAGGAAGAGAACGCTCACAGTGAGCTAAGCCTGTCCTCTGCCTGATGTCAGATTCCCAGTCCCGAGTTCTGAATAAACGTGTGTGATGTTCCAGCCCTCCAGGGTATACACCCTAACTGATTTGTCGTAACCGTGATGGCCATAACCGCAACCACAATGCTGGTTGAAGAGAGTTTCTTTTAGTTAAACAAAAATCCCAAGGAGTCCCAAATCCCCCAGGATACAAGAGCTTGCATCCAGGACCCCCAATGATACCAAAACCGGGATACTCAAGTCTCCCGTGTAAACTGTCATGGAATTTGTATACTGTTAATAAGATTTGAACATTGACTTTAAAACATGCCTTCACTTCAAAGTGGGTACTGAAGTCAATCCTCTTATGTCCTGGCTGGGATCGTTACAATGTCTCCTGCAGAGATCTGCACTTGCTACCCAGGAGAGCTGCACTTGCTACCCATGCAGAATGGCAGAATGTGTGAGTACCTTGTTCAAATCACATAACTCTTCCGCCACTGTGTGTGCCCGAGTTTGGTGTCCTGTAGGCTAAACTTCTTTAAGCAAGTGATATGGTTCGGATGTGCCATTCAAAAGGTCCAGTGCAGGAAACTTAATCTGCAAATGTGTATGTTGATAGTATTTGGAGAGGTAGGTGCTTAGGGTTAGATGAGCTCCTAAGAGTAAGTCCCCATAATGACACCTGTGGTCCTGGAAGAAGACTGCCCCAGGCTGGCAGGCTTGCTCTGTCTTACCATTGGAGGCAGCCAAACACACTACATGCAAAGAAGATGTTGGCCCTGTGTTTTCAGACTTCTCAGCCTCCAGGACAGTAGATAAATAAAGCATTATTCCCTACAAATCACTCAGTCCTGGATATTCTGGTATACCAGCAGAAGACAGAGTGGAGATGGTAAGCCTCACCCAGAAAAGTCATCCTGAAACCCAAGAACCCACCTGCTCATGATCTCAAAGGTTCTGCTCACCACCACGTGCTCGCTCCTCGGACTTAAAAGGACAGTCCAGTTGTGAGTGACCTGTAGAAGTCAAAATTATGTACAGTTGTAGTCTTTGGGAAGAACCACCAGGAAACACAGGGGTATATGTTCTGAACAGGCACAATATTTTTACAAATACTCTCAAATTACAGTTGATCTAACGCTTGAATGTAGTAGAACCTATGGTGGATAAGAAAGGCCACCAATACTGATCCATGAGTGAAATAAATCACTACGTGTTATTGGAATTATTTGAGTCTTGGGCAGTCTCTTAGTCATCTGAGGCAATTTTTAAATGCCTCCTTAGTGCTGACTTCTGCTAACAGCCAGGAGGTACAAACCTGCCCCCAAGAAACTCCAGCACCCTGCGTCACTCAGCTCCTCCCACAGAGCTGAGTTGGAACAGCAGCTGCTGCAGTCATACCTGCCCTGAGCCAACACAGCAGAGAGAAACTTCCAGTGGAGAGCAGTGGAAAGAGGTTGGACAGAGGAACTCTAAACTAGGTCCCTGTGGGAAGCCTCATACGTGAGAAAACACAAATCACCTTGAAAGACTCGGGTTCTGTGTTTCTGGGAATGGATGTGTATGTGGGCATTTGCAAAGTGCCAGCATGTTAGAGAGAGCCTTCTGGAAAGAGCGAGGAGAAGCGCTACTACTCATTTAATTTGGACAATAAGCTGAGAGGGCACCTAGACAATAGACCTTACTTCTAGTCATCTGTAGCATAGCAGGGAAACTATAATAACGACTTGAAGAATGTGCAACTTTCTGCCACAGAGATGATGAATGTTTGAGAAGACAGCAATGTCAATTACCCTGATTTGATTATTACACTGTGTGTATACAAGTGCCGAACTATTACACTCTACCATACAAGTATATACGCATATTGCTCCAATTAAAATTTTAATCATAAAATAATGTTTGAAGGCATCCTCCTATACCTCATGGTCTTTGGCATAAGAGTCAAGAAGCACAGGGTAGACAGATATGCCCACCCCGCGTTCCTTGCAGTGGGCTGTGCACCTCATGTGGGAACTTAGTTCCTGTCCTGAAGTCATTCTATGGTTTAGAATGTTAGCATTGTACCGGCCAGTGGCAATTATCATTCTTGCTCATAATTAGACTTTTGTCCTGTGGACTACAATCTGCAGAGGAGGAAAATATAAGAGGGACAACCTTGCATATACATGGGGTTTCTGTCTCATGGCCGGTTATACCGGGGAAGACCCCTGAGCACAGGGCATATCTTCCATGCAGGTGTTCCAGTGGGGTTCCAGTGGCGTCACTGACATGAGGACTTTTGCTGCTGGCTCCCCTCCTGCACACGAGTGCATTTTCAGAACGGGACTTGAAGCAAAGCTCTGCACATGGGGCTGCATATAGGCTCAGGAACCCATGTGCTCAGCAATGTCACAAACACAGGGCAGCTGCAGCATCCACCTGTTCTCTGTAACATCAGGTGAGTCCCAAATTGGTTTGCACTTTACAACAAAAACTGCTTACACCCGTAATGCTTCTCGAAATAAGCCGGTCAAAATTTTTATTGCATGAAAAACTGGCAGGTGTGACTTGACTCTAATGGCATAGGAAAAAATAATTTCAACGACAAAGCGGGCGAGCATCACTGATGGCTTCACTAATAATGAAGTTACCGCCTTTTGGCTTCCATTAAAAAAAAAAAAAAAACCATTCAATGGGAAACCCAACGTATAACAAGGTGTAATGAGACTTCGCAATCGCTTTCAAATAATAAGTATAACCTGTTGTGGTCGCCGCCGCCTGCCGCCCATTAGGTCTGCCTGGGTCACAGCCACCACGACATGCTCTTCTCTCCCTGGACCACTTGGTCCTCCAGCCGTCAGGGGCCCTGCCAGGTCCAGCTGAAGCATCACGGCGTCGGCGTGGCCACTGAGGCTCACAGCTGCGGGTTTATCAAGGTGAACCGCAAAGCAAGGAAGAAACCGCCCTACCCAAGGCACATTCCTCCCTTCCTGGGAGCGCTCACAAAGAAACGTAGCTCCAACCAATTCCCCCACCCCCTGCACCCCTGTAACCTCGCCCCGCGTATCACGCCAACCCCTCACCGCCACACATCATACAATTGGATTTGTGTTGCTCCACCGTGTTTAATGTCTGTTGCTTGAGTACTGGGCGGTATCCACGCTGCCTCCTTGCTCACACCATGTACTGTTAGCATAAAATTCCCATCCGAGCTCAGGGACCCACAGGAGGTCAGATTCTCTCATGGATGAACTAACCCATACCATATCTAAGTCACAGGGTGTCAAACCCCTGAGAGTCAGATGGGAAACCACAGTGAGAACTGAGAGGCACCCTGAAACTGGACGCTCCAGGAGTTGAAGGTCAAGCTCATGGTCACGCAGGGCCTATCAGGGGGGACGGCCCTTCTGCTCGCTCCATGGCACTGAGCAGGGCCCAGTGCCCTGCCCCTTAGCTCCTGCCTCGTTCCTTGGCTGGCTGAGTCTTGATTCTCAGCCCCTCCCACCTGGGTTGCCAGGTCCTAGGAGCACAGAGTGTGTAAGCGGTACTGACTGCACAGGACAATGAGCAGAGGCGTCTTTGAAGCAGATCTTCAGAAGGAACTTGCTGGTTCAGTGGCCAGTCCTTTGTTCTGTCTTTAGTCCCTAGAAATGCAGTTGATTTATTGGAGGCATACGGGGTTTCCTTTGAGGGTTAGGGAAAGTCAGTCAGTAAACGGCTCTTTTTCATTATTTTTTTTTAAATTTTCTAAACATACTGTTTTTTTTAAAATGCTGTACAAAAACACGCTGGTAGAGAAAATGTTTGATGGACCCAGTGATCTGTGTGACGGGAGCTTCACACGGTTCGACACTTGGGTTTAGAAGGGACAAATGGAAAAATGGAAATCACACATGGAGCAAAATCTACATAGAGGGTTACAAGAGAGGCCCTGTTGCTCTGCCAGCTTGAAACTGTTCCTGTCCTGGTCTTTCCCACTAAATACTAAAGAAATAGTATTAACAGGAAAGAAACTACAAAGGTCCTTAAAGACGTCAGAAAGTAGAACAGTGCCACCTAGAGGCAAACTGCAGAAGAGCAGCTGGCGTCCCTCCAGAATTTGAGCATCTATCTACTGCAGAGTAAAACAAAGCCTTTGTCCTTGAGTGTAGCCGTTATTCCTCTTCTACATGCGAACAAACACCTGACAAGGAGAAACTGGAGAGCATAAAAATGTATTCTGGTATCAGTTTGAAGGTGGTGACAGCAGGTAGCTCCATTTCCTGGAGAGCATCCTGAAAGGGAGGCTGGGACCAACAAGGCTGGCCTGTAACCCTCAAAGCACGCTCCACTGATCCACTTCCTTCACTAGGCCACACCTCCCACAGATTCCACAACCTTCCAAAACAGTGTGTGTGCGTTTGGGGGTCTAAAGCACTAGTCGGGAGGTGACACCTATAGTTAGCCATTCAAATGAAGAACACAAAAATGACAGGGGCAGCTGGGTGTGGTAGCGCATACCCTTGGTCCCAGCACTCGGAAGGCAGGGGCAGGTGGGTCTTGGTGAGTTCAAGGCCAGCCTGGCCTACAAAGCAAGTTCCAGGACAACCAAGACTGTTACACAGAGAAACCCTGAGATAGATGATGGATGGATGATGGATGATGAATGGATGACTGGATGGATGGATGAATGGATGATGGATGGAAGATGGATGATAGATGGATGGATGGATAATGGATGATAGATGGATGGCTGGATGGTGGATGGATGATGGATGGATGGATGACAGATGGGTGGATGATGAATGGATGGATGGATGGATGGATGGATGGATGGATGGATGGATGCATAAGCCCTGCACATGTAGCCACTTTTCCTTTTCCCCAATGCATGCTCAGGGCTCCAAGCCCAACCTGGAGTTTGGCATTGTGTCAGGATGACTTCCACACTTGGCAAATGCAAGCCTTGGGGATGAGCCCTGCCCTGTATCTCTCTTTAACCTAAGACCTCCAGCCACAGTGTGATCCTGATGCAATGCAGGTCTCTGCATGGGGCACCCATCCTCAATGATCCCCCACTTCTGCAGAACTTTACTGCATACTTTGATCTCTGAAACACAACCAAGGGCCCAGTCTGTTCCCCCCTTCTGCCACTCCTCCCTGTGTTCTGCCGCACTCTGCGCTAAGCCACAAGTAATGTATTTAGCGTGGTCTGAAAGTCTAAACTTTCTCCCTAATGGGTGGGTATACTTCTTCAAGCAACAGAGCTACTTCTCACTCTCCTTTTTCTCCTTTAACTCCTCTGGAGAATGATCCCTAAACAGTACACGGTTACCAAATAACAGTTTGTATATGGACTCACCCTCCAGGTCCTCTGAATCTAGACCGTAGTCACACAGACAAGAGCACTGAGAAGAAAAAAACAAATTCCTCCATTTTCTGATGCATCAGCCACATTCTGCCTGCCCATTTGCCTGAATGTAAGCTTTCCCTGTCGTCTAAGACCTAACTCAGCACCCCCTCGGGGTTCCAAAACTCATCCTCAGAGGTCTTGGCGGCCTGTGCCTCCTCATCTCCCATTGTCCCTTTGAGGACAGGGACCTCCCCCTCCACTCCTGTCCCAGAGCTGGGGATCTTGTCTTGTAGCAGGGAGGAAGAAACTTGAGAAGGGCAGGCGATGGTCTCAAAGAGAGACCTTCGCTGGCATCTCCACTGTTGAGTCCCCAAAGGCTTACCTTCCTCTTTCCTGTGGAGCTCTTGAACATTAAGCTCCATGTTGCGGGGCCCAGCTTCCCTGCTTGCTCAAGATTTGGCCCTCCTTTGGACTGGACCTACAAGCTGTCCCCCTGGCATCCCCCGAGGATTCTGTCCTCCTTTGCCAGAGCTACTTTGAGGGTCTGTTTACCTGTATTACAAGATTTCCCTGTGTTTGGTTAATAATTGTTACTGTGTAGGGTGTTTCCGCAAGACTTGAACATTTGACCTGGCAGGCTGAATGGAGCTGAGTGCCCTCCCAACACATCAGAAACCATCCAACCCTCTGAGCCCAGGTGGAAAAGGTCCAAGGGAGGATTTGGTCCCCTTTCTCTCTAGTGAGCCAGATCTTCATCTCCTGCTCTAGGCTCAGTCTTAGACTGGAACACACGCCACCCCCACATGCCCAGGTTTTTGAGTTCCACTTAGACTTGCAGGTGGATGTCTCAGCTTTCACAATCATGTGAGCCAATGCCTTGAAATAATTAGTGTGTGCGTGTGCGTGTGTGTGTGTAGAGATATATAGATAGATATACTTGTCTTATATATCTATAACTGTATATACATATATGTGTGTATGTATATGCATATAAATATATATACTTGAATTGTATACATCTATAGCTCTGTGTGTGTGTGTGCGTGTGTGTGTGTGTGTTCTATTTGTGTCTTGTTAGTCTAATTTATGGGGTCCTATTTGGAGACCCTAAAAGGGCAGTGGGGGAAATAGCTTTCATCCCTACACTGTTTCCTCTACTTTTGCTGACAGCTTTGGGTACAGCTGGAGGTATGACAAGGGACAGAAGAGAGGGGGGGGAGCAAAAGAAAGGATGAGGTATTGAGAAAAGGGAGGAGGGAAGAGAGAAAGAGGGAGGGGAGGGAGGGGAGGAGAAAGGAGGGGGAGGGAAGAGGAGAGGGAGAGAGGGAAGAGGAGGGAGGGACAGGGAGGGGAAGGAGGGAGAGAGAAAGGGGAGAGGGAGGGACAGGGAGGGAGGAAGGGAGGGAGAGAGGGGAGAGGGAGGGAGGAGGAGAGGGACTGGGAGGGGGAGGGAGGGGGAGGGAAGGAGGGAAGAGGAGAGGGAGGGAGGGGGAGAGAGGGAGAGAGAGAAGGGGAAGGGAGGGAGGGAGAGAGGGAGGGAGAGAGGGAGGGAGAGAGGGAGGGCCACTGGTCCCTGCTCCTTTACATAATGGCCTGGGAGCCTTGCTGCCCTCCCCCACAACAAGCACAGACAACAATTTGGGGACAAAGATCTTCAGGTGCCTGCAATTACAGGGCTCTAAAATAAACCCTGCAATTACTGAACTGACACGGCCGACTGCTACAAGGAGACACAGATGTTCGCAAGGAAGAATCAGCCTTGTTATTCTGCAACCGAGTGGCTCTTTGCCCCAATGCCTTCCTTGTCACCGCACACAGCCCCAAGTCTCTGGCCTCAGCTCCATCCAGGAAGGCTGGCAAAGGAGAACACGGGGCTGTGCTTAATTCCCTTCCCTCTAAGAGCTGCCTTCAAAGGTCAGAGCCCTGTCCCATCCCTGTATACTTTCTGTTCCTCTGCTTTGGTGTTCTAGGACAGGGTCTCACTGTGTAGCAGGTTTTCATCTGCCTGAGCTTCTCAAACACTAAGATGACAGTCACGCGTCACCAACATCCTAGACCTGAAGGAAAAAATAATTAAAAATAATAAGCATACTCTGCCAGTTCAGACAGGATGACCCTGGCTCTGAGCTATGTACTGAACCCTGTGCCTTATCTCAAAGAACATATTTCTACCAGGTAAGCCAGACAACCCTGGTTAACAGCTTCCCCTACAGGAGCTCTGTAAAAATCCCCCATTTGTTCAAAATGACTAGAACTTAGAGTTGTTATCTCTGGGGGGGGGGGATGTTTAATTGATTTAAGTGTAACTTGAGGACAGGAACCTGAAAGCAACTCACCCGTGGCAGCATACGTAAGAACGCAATATGACAGCTCAAACCTATGTAAGTTATGGACGATTTGTGTTCAGGGCAAAGGCTCCTTGAGCTAGGGGCTACCGTCCACCAATATTGGCGAGTCTCTTTTTCCTTTACCTCTGGGTGCTTGGAGTGATTTTCTTCAGGCAGAGATTAACCTGATGTTCCAGCCCCTTCTTCAATTCTAGCAGAACTACACTCCTTTGAGCTCCCTGTACACCTTCGGCAGTATACAAATCCCAAGTTGGTTACTTCCCCACCGGGTACGGCCCCAGAGGGTCACAGACTGGCAGCTCTCACAGACCCTCACTGTGCACTTAGAGCCTAGTGTCTGGAGAGTGGAGCCACAGGAAATCTATGGTGACAGTGGACTTGTTCTGAGGAGCCCACATAAAACTGGAACCAGCCTCCATGGAGTAATAATTGTCCTAAATCCCCCCCCAACCCGGCCCCTCCCGCCTGGCTTCCCCCATGCTCCCCCCATCTCCTTCTAGCTCCTCCTCCATCCAAACATGCAAGCCCACCCAGAAAACGGGAAACGAGCCCCCTGTTACCTGTGTTGCCCAGAAAACATGGGCCACTGATGGACCATGGACCCTTTGCTGGAGACTAGCCTACGTGAGCGCCAATGAAGAGCTCAGTAGGCTGCTTTAGAATAAAAGCGGCATACCATGGTGACAGGGAAAGGGGCTTTACTGTTGGTACCTATTCCCCTCCTAACCTGCTGTGGTTATGTAGGATGCCTGTGTGATGAGGATGTCACCGTTGGTCCTCAAGGGATGTCCCAGCACAGCACAGTCCCGTCCACAGCTTCCTGACGCCTCTCCTCCCTCTGTGAGTCTCACTGGAGACCTAACTCAGCAACACTGACGGTCCTCAGAGGGCTTCAAGCCATCTGCTACAAAGTTACCAGGTGGTGGGAGAGCAGAACCCAAGTCCTGGCGGCCAGGGTGAAACCAATGCTTTGGAGGGGGTGGGGGAGGGGACAAAAGAAGCCAGGAAACATCAGGAAAAAGTCTTGGATTTCTCAGACTGCCACCATCCTAGATCTTCAGTAACCTCACAGGGAAGTGCTTCCTCTGCCGAAAGTGAAACCCGGCACCCCTTTCCCAACACTGAAGAAAAGTACAGGACATGCGAAAAGGCTCAGCCAGCCCTCACAGCAGCCCTGTAGTGAAACTCGGGAAAACAGAGAGAGCCTCCCTCACAGGGACTTGAGAAATGAGCCCTAAAAGGACAAGTTGATGGGGGAGTGTCCTTCTGTGTGCTGTGCTTCTCTTACTGGTTTAATAAAACGCTGATTGGCCAGGAGCCAGACAGAAAGTACAGGCACAGCTACAAGACTAGCTGAATGCTAGGAAGAGAGAGGCAGACGCCATGTAGTTACTGGGAAGACAGGACTCCGGGCATTCTCCGGGAAGATAAGGCCATTTGGAAATACATAGATTAGTGTTATGGGTTACTATTTAAGAAAGAGCTAGCCAGTAAGATGCCTCAGCCATTGGCCAAACAGTTAATAATTAATATGTCTCTGTGTGTTTATTTGGGACTAAATGGCCGTGGGACCAGTCATAACAAGAAACACCGTCTACAACAAATAGAAAAGAGACCCCATTTTATAAAGTGTAAGTATAATAAATACTGGAATTTAGCTTTCTAAGTTCATCTCATTTTTTTAAAGAGAATTTTCAAAGAAACAAACATATTTTTATTTAAAAAAAAAAAAAAAAAAAAAACTCATTTCAAACAGCAGTTTAAAGTGCCTGGGAATAAACCCAACCAAGCAGATAAAAGACCTTCGCTGTGAAACTTCAAGCTACCAATAATAATAATAATAATAATAATAATAATAATAATATCTGTGCTTGTGGAGTGGCAACATTAATGTGGAAAATGACTGTTTTACTAAAAGCAATGTGCAGATCCATGCAATCCCCATAAAAAAAAAAAAAAAAAAAAAAAAAAAAAAAACCCTGAACTCAAACTACACTTCAGAGCCATAGTGACCAAAGTGTATGCTGTTGTCACCTTAAGAAAACAGGCAGGAACCCTGCCCCGCCCCGCCCTTCCCCGCCCCACCCCTGCAAGGAGCCTAAGCATGCTTTTACAGTGGCTTTGTTAATGTGTTGGTAAGTTTACTAAGAACAAAGTATTGGTTGCCAGCCCCTTCACAGCAAGAGGAGCAAGGCTGGATTCACCAGGACCCAGGTCTGCAGAGCCTGCCCTCCTGTGAGGAAACAGCCGCAGATCTACGGAATCATGTACACGATTCCATAAACTGAAAGCGGAAATGGGAATACACTGGGGTCCCTCAGCCGTGTGCCCAGTCCCTCAGTCATCCTGTTTCCTCCCACGCAGCAAACCTACTGTCTCTTCCTCAGGAAACTATCTCCTGAACATAATCTAAAAACGGATGAAGATGCAGTTCTTTATCTTACTTCCACAGCATCTCAAAATCGCCCCCAAAGCACCAACATATCTAGAGTCTACTTGTCCCCAACACTTGGGATTGTGCCCCCTCTGATCTGCCTCTTCCTCCTTCTCTTTACTTGCAAGCTTCTCTCAGGAGCATTCCCTTGACTGACTACGCAAGCATCCCATAGTAAGGGGCCCCTATGCCAAGGTACCACTCACCACGTCCTGTGTGGCATGGTCCTGGAAACATGCCTGGAACAAATCAGGAGTGAAAAACAAAACAGACACACATACAGAAACGCTGAGTCAAGTGGGCTGCGCTTGCTCAGACAGAAGGAAACAACTGTACAACCCAGAAAGCGCGCACATTTAATATGTACAGCACAAGGCGGGGTTTAACTAGCCTCAGTGGGAGGTATCTATTAGGAACGGGGTCTTGGGTTGCAGTAATAAGAGAGGAGGAGGCTACAATTGCTAATTTCTGCTCACACTCCGCATCTGGACGTAATTCCCGTGGGTCTAAGGCACTGGAGTCCTTGACATGGCCATGTTCAAGTCAGACAAGGGACAGTCACTCCAGGTTTCCAACACTCCCCACACGAGCTCACTTCTGACTAGGTCTACATCAACTCTCCAAGTAATACAGAGGTTAA